GCCCATAACCGGTTATAAAGTACCTATACCGGTTCTATCATTTTCGACCGGGACCGAGACCGGGACCGGTTATGGCCGGTTATGAGAATGGTGAGGACCGATTGGGACCGACCCGGGACCGGTTTTTTGCCATCTCTAATGCAGAGTCCTAAGGCCCAAGGCCCACCTTTTGACCTTAAAAAAAAAAAAAAAACTTAATGAACACTCTGGTAACCAATCATCTGGAGTCTGGACAATATTATATATCCACCGATTCACGAGGCTTTCTCACATACAAATCAAGTTCTAACAGTTTTTGCGTCATAAGGCCCCACCACCTGCCATTCTCAATAACAAGACCCTCTTTATATACACTCAAATCTTCAGTGTATTATCATTAAGCTGTTGAGCGAAAGACTCGGGTTATTTTACGTTGAACTTTAGTGATGAGTCGGGTACGGTGCATATTGGGTTGGGGTGGAGTAAAAACGGAAGTCAGTAGCAGTGTGCATGATAAGGATCGTGTGGCGATTTATCAGGTGAATGAGGTGCTGCTACCGGAAGCGATACCGGCTGTTGCTCCGGTGGCTGATGGACCAGATGCTGGAAAAGATGAGGGTTTGATTTTTTAGAAGGCTGATGCTTCCGCAAACACTCTAAAATGTTGTCTGCAAAAAAGAAACAAGAAAAAGAAGCTACAACTCTGCAAATTTGAAATTACACTTTAAGTTAATTACGTCCATTCTTTAAAAAAAAAAAATCATTTTACACTTTTATTAAATTAACATATATAATCGTACATTATTTAAAACATGTTTAAAAAATACATTTTTATTTTAACAAGTTACACTATTATAATCATCTTGTTAATGCATTCGAAATAAGTCCAAAATTAAATATTTTTTGACTTAATTATATTATTATATATTATATATACTATAAAAAAATATTTTTAATATTTACACTTTATACCTTTATAGTTATTTATTTAATTTATAATACATTATTTATTTTTTTAATTTTCGTTTTACACCATTATCACATCAAAATACATAATTTTATATTAACTAAAATTAGATCTAACAACAAAATTAACCTCTCAAAAACATTTTCATACTCTTTATTCATCAAACATACTCATTTTTTAATATACTTTTTAATTTTGAAATTATACTTCATATTATATAGTTACTTAATTAATTTATTCTTATACTTTTGTTTTTTCTATTTTTCGTTTTAAACTCTTATCACATTAAGATACATAATTATATATTAACTAAAATATGTTCTAAATTTTAACAAATTACATCATTATAATCGTCTTGTTAATACCTTCAAAATAAGTCCAAGATTGAATATTTTTTATTTAATTATATTATTATATCATATATTACCACGGAAAAATATTTTTAACACTTATACTTTATACTCTTGTAGTTAATTATGTAATTTTAGGTGTTTGGTTTGCACAAAGAATACCCGTGGAATTGAAATCCATCAAAAGAAATTTGAATTTGAAAAAATTATACTGGAATTCAACGAAGTTTGAATATATGATTGGTTGGTAGGATTTAAAATGGAATCGTTCAAAAGAATTCGAATCTATATTATTTATTGTATTTTTGATATTTTTTAAACTTTCATTTTACTGTACTTAAAAAGATTATTTTTATAGGCTTCTATATTTTTATTAATTTTTATAATTTATTATATATTAATAATAAAAAATAATGTAGAAAAGAGATAAAATTTGGAAGGTACATAAATTTTTTATTTGGTGTCATTTTAATTGTTTTGACGAAAACTTTCTAATGATATATTTTGTTATAAAAAATAATTATTTATTATAATTTAATAAATTACATAAATCAATTAAAATATATAAACAACTCATTAGAGATGAATTAGTCATTTTACTTATTTTGTCTTATCACATGTTAAACATTTGTTCCATTCTATCTTATCATATCCTATTCTATCTAGATAGCAAACGCAACCTTCAAGAACCAAAAACCGTGTAAGTTTATTCTTTTTTCTTTAAGAAAAATTATTCATTATTAAGATGGTTTTTATAAACGTAGGGGTTGTTTGTTTACCTCTTAATAGTTTTATTAAAAGACAACTTTTGAATCGTTAAGAGGTGAATCTTGTTTGACAAAAACAAAAATCTGTCTTTTAATAGTTTCAAAAATCTTATCATGAATCTTCCTTGACTATTAAGAACCCTAATTTTATTATACATAATTATCAAACAATTATATTTCAATTTTAAACTATATCATAACTCTTAATCATTCTGATCACTTAATCATTGTAAACCAAACCAACAATTACTCCAACAATTACTCCTTTATGCTGTACCAGATTTTGTATTTTTCCTAGTTTGGATTTTGGAAAAGAAAGGAAGCGCAGGAATCCGGCTTCGGCTTCTGACGCTCAGCAACGTACCACGTTTAATAGGTTTATAGCTGACCACCTGCAGACTGCAATATCACCATTTCCCACCACCTCCATCTTTTCTTCAAGCTCAAATCCTCCATTTCCAGGGTCTATCATGGCATCTTCCGACGAAGAAGGCGAAATCTTTCCTCATTCCGTCACAGCCTACCAATTTCTCAACTACAGTAATAAACCCATTCCATTTTCCAACTTACCCATTCATTGGTCTGATCACCACACCGGAGACTCGCCGCCGGTGTATTTGCTCGGAACTTCCGATGGAGATCGTCAATCAGTCTACAAGCAAGTGATTGGTTGGAAATTAGAACTTCTTCATGTAATGCCTCAAGTCTACATTCTTTCCAAGGGGAAATCATGGATTAAGCTTCTGAAACCAAAGAAGAGTTACGAAGATATCATCAAAACTGTTGTGATCGTGATTCATGGTCTTCATTTTGTGAAGAGGAATTTAGAGGCAACTGGAGATAGAATCTTGAGTCATTTGATGAAAACTTTGAGGTTTCTGTAATTTGATCGGACTTTGTTGTTTGGATCTCGATTTTTGTGTTAATTAACGTTGTTGTTTTTGCAGCTCTTATGATGTGGTTGAACCTCTCGAGCAGTATCTTTCGAATCACGTATCGTTGATTCGAATTGCTGTGGCTAAAGACGAGGATTTAGCGAAATCTAAGGTTTGATGTTGGAAACATGGTTTTTCGTAAATACATTTCATATATGTAACACATTACACATAAACGCTGCAAGAAACAACTTGAATTTTAGTGTAAGGGGCCGTTTGCCTAAATGCTTACCCGGTAAGCACTTACGAGTTTGAAACTATATAATTTATTAAAATGGTAGAGCATGTAACAATTTACCCGGTAAGTACAGGCAAGAGTCGTCATCCTCACTTACCTAGTAAGATTTTTGACCGTTGCCATGTTCAATCAAATAGAGAAAGTTACTCGGTAAACACTTACCACGTAAGCATTTAGTAAACGGCCCTTAAGATGAAACTCATTGAATGGGTTACAACATTTTTTTGGTTCTAGTTTGATATTCCCATATATACACCCAAAAAAATGAAAAATTGATGAACACCCTGATAACTATTCATCTATATGGAATGCGTTCTGGTTTCTATGCACATGTAAATACCGGAAAAATTACTTACAAATTACTTGTATCGGTTACTAGATGGTTGCATTGCTCAGTTTTTTATTTATTTACCTTTTTTACGGTTTTCCTCCGAACCTGACCCTGTATATAATACACGTGACAGTATCTTGAAAGATTTCTCATGGAGATTGAGAATCCTGGGAGAAGAGAAACTTTTCATGAGGTTAATACCAATATTTCTGAATTTATTTCTCATGTTATTAAGCAAGTTTTTCTTTATCGTTTTGTTGTTGTTCATTAAAGGAAAATCAATCGAGAAAGAAGTCGAAGTTCATCGTTGACGAAGATGATATCGCAAGTGACGAAGATCTGGATGAAGAAGCTGAAGTTTTGTTTGATCCTGTTTGTGCATTTTGCGACAATGGCGGTGATGTTCTCCCGTATGCATATATTTCCCTCATATGGTGACTTAATAGAGACATGGCGTATAACACCGGTATCATCGGGTGAAAGAATTGTGAAAAGTTTTAGGGTTTTAATTTAACGGGGGTAGTTTAGTAATTAACTACGCTTATACTATCTTCTTATTTTTGTTCCACCTATTTTGGTTGGACGGGTTTTTGTTCTGTTTTGTACTGTTAATATCGGTGAAGTGCCTTCTTTGTTACTTCACACCACTTGTTTTAATATGGCAGCTGCGAAGGACAATGTCTACGGTCTTTTCATCCAACCATAGAAGCGGGGGTCGACTCGTGTTGCGAGTCTCTTGGTTTCGCGGGTGCAAGTCAATACGAGGTATGATTCTCTTTGTGTTCTATTTTAACTTATCATTCATGTCGTGTTCGCTTATTTTGAGCATAACTTTCTCTAAATTCTGAACGCAGGCAATTCCGACTCTTCTTTGTGATAACTGTAAACACCAAAAACATCAATGCTTCGGTTGTGGAAAGTTGGGCTCCTCCGATAAGTGTTCTGTTGCCGAGGTTCTGAGTTATAACCAACCTAAGCACAAATATTCGCTTAGTGACGGTTTTTTGGTGCAAATAGAAATAAGCAATGATGACTGATTGTTGCTGATATTTTGTGTGTTAAATTTTCGTGTTAGGTCTTCCCTTGTGTTTCCGCAACTTGTGGGCATTTTTATCATCCCGAATGTGTTGCAAGTTTGCTTTGTCCATTTGATGAAACCGTGTCCAAGAAACTCGAGAGTCGAATCGCTGCGGGAGAATCGTTCACGTGTCCTATCCATAAATGCCATCGTTGTAAAGGAGGAGAAGATAAAGAAGTACACGATTTGCAGTTTGCAGTCTGTAGGCGCTGCCCCAGGGCGTATCATCGAAAATGCTTACCCATGTAATTACGATTTCTTCAATGTATATATATATATATATATATATATATATATATGCACGCACACACACACACACACACACGATACATAGCACCTTGGTGAGTTTTGAATCCTTGACCTACAGAGAGGTTGGGATCTATCAGTAGCCCGGGTACCATTGAGCCTATGACTCTTTTGGAATATATTTTATATCTCAAGAAGAATCTGGTGTGAATCGGGCTTCCCGTTTTCTTGGTTGTTAATAATATTTTCCAGGAAAATCGCTTTTGAGCGTAGTGCTGATGGAACTGTCCTGCAAAGAGCGTGGGATGATCTCTTGCCAAAACGCATCCTGATATATTGCATGTAAGAGATCGTGCCTTCTTCGTTCTAATAACACATAATATTGCATAAGAGGAAGGTTTAAACGAGAGCCATAGAACCTCAGAACCAACTATTTCATGTATTATTCATAATGAATAACCTGCATTATTCATGATGAATAACATGAATCTTATGATGAATATCTATCATGACATTCATCGTGAATAAACATGAATTGTTGGTTCATAAGTTCTCAAAATATTTACGTTTTTATAAAGTATATAATATATTTATATACGGCATATGCAACGAATAAACTCACACACCCTCCTCACCATTTGTGAGGTTTGAACCCTGACCTCCTAGGAGGCAAGAGGCTCAGATACCGCTAGGCCAAAGGCCCTTTGGTAATATTTACGGTTTTCATGTCAACCTTCTCCTACTTTATAATATCTTGCACATACGAATCGAATAACCAAATATTACATTGCCAGGAAGCACAAGATCCTTCCAAGCCTATTGACACCAAAACGAGATCATCTTTTATTCCCTTATATAGTACGGAAAAGGAATCAAGACGGAAGTAGAACAAAGGTGCTGAAGGTAGAAATAAGCAAGGCTTTCGGAAATCTTGAAGTAAGTGAAACCGAAAACACGTCACAAATGGTTGAAAGGCGGTATAGCTCAGTTACTTTTCGTGATCCCGCATTTGAGAAAGGCAAGTCTTCCCTTATGTACGAAAAGAGACCTTCACTCGAAGAAAACGTATCCATTTCTAGAAATCCGGAATACCCTTCTTCCCGGGCCCAAAAGAAACCGGCATACAGAGAAGAACGCTTTGCTTCTAAGCAGGTGAAGAAGATAACAGTTATTACACCTCCTTCGGTAGACACTAATATGGAAAAAAGGTACATGTTTCCGATGTTGTAATGCTTTCGGTTTTTTACCATTTAAGGGGTCATCGTGTAAAGTTATACTATTTTGGCGTATAGGATTTTACGATTAATGAAAGATTCCGCATCTTCATTTGATTTCGATGAATTCATAAAGGATAAGAAAAGTAGGCGTACTCATGAAGCGTACACCCCACAGACCGGATTGGATAAGACCATTACCATGGGAAAGGTGGAGGCCTCCGTAAAGGTGGCATACCAACCGATCTACATGATAATTATGTAAGGGTGCATTTGGTATGCAGGACGAGATAAGACATAACAAAAACTTGTTGTCCCACATTTGGTGCAACATTTAGACCGGGGCAAGACTTCACTTGGTGAGACAAACGCTCATTTTTTGTCCCACCGAAATAAATGGACAACCAAAGGGCCATTTGTCTAGTACCCGGTATCCCAACCTTCCTGGATTTAACATCCCACGCAAACCGTACCAGATATTGTCTGTCTACTTTGTTTACACACCGAGACTCATGGTTTTAAAACGCATGACGTATCCAGTCCCTTATAAGGCAACCTTTGTTCCCCTCACCAACCGATGTGGGGATCTTACAATGGAGGTCAGGGATTCAAGTCTCATGAAAGGCGAGTGTGTGTGAGTTTTGTCGTGTATAAATATTATATACTAAAAAAATAGATGGAACATAAATCCTTGGCAAATTACTAAACTACCCATGTCAAATTAGAACTCAAAAGCTTTGCGCAATTCTTTCACCTGCCTACCTCACTCTCGTCCGTCTAGTCTTATCTAGTCCCTGCATACCCAAACGCACCCTAAGGACACTATGGTTAAATAAGTTTAAACTCACGACCTTTTGGGTATGTTTTACCTTCACAGGCGGTACGAACAGCCTTAAAGAAATTGGACGATGGGTGTAGTGTTGAGGATGCAAAAGCTGTTTGTGAACCAAACGTTCTTAATCAACTCATTAGATGGAAGGTATGACGAAAGATCACGTTTATGATAGTTTCTTTACGGTTTCTAATATTTCGCTCTATGCTTACGATGTGAAAGTCTTTGTTCTTTTTACCTGTTTGTTCATACTCTTGCACAAGTCAGGGGTCTTCATGGAAACAACCGCTCTACTCTTTGGGGTAGAGGTCAGGTTTGTGTATATCCCACCCTGAGACCCTACTTTAGAGTGGGATTTACTGCGTCGGCTTGGTTTAAAGAAGATTTTGTTGTTGTTGATGTGCAGAAAAAGCTACATGTGTTTCTTGCCCCTTTTCTCCATGGAGCACGCTATACGTCTTTTGGGCGCCATTTTACAAAGGTCGACAAGCTTAAGGAGGTGAGATATCTGTCCTTTCCTGTAAATCGAGTTAGTTAACCCCCTTGATGGTTAGTTGTCACATTCGGGAATACAAATGGTTATTAGTTATATATATATATATATATATATATATATATATATATATATAGTTGGGTTCACGTGAGACCAAAGGTTTTTCGTGAGACCCATAAGACCGATTTATGTTCATTGATCAACTTTATAAGCTAATGATCTAATGGTCTAAAATTGCACGGTGACAATTTTGTGATTATTGAGAAGTCTCTTGGCAATTTGATGATCATGAATGTTCAGATTGTAGATCAACTTTATAAGCTAATGATGGTTTAAAGTTGCACGGTGGCATTTTTTTGTGATTATTGAGAAGTCTCGTGGCAATTTTTGATGATCATGAATGTTCAGATTGTAGATCTAATCCAAGGATTGAGAATTGGTCTTACGGGTCTCACGAAAAACCCTTGGTCTCACGTGAACCCAACCCTATATATATATATATATACACCCAAATCAATATTGATGAAAAATTGGATAACTTTAGGAAGGATAGTGAAATGATCAATGTTCTTGGAGATAAACTTTTCATTTGTATATGCAGATAGTTGATAGACTTCATTGGTATGTGGAAGACGGTGATATGGTGAGAAACATCCAGCAAATCTCCTACTTGTATTAATATAGGGGTCGGTTCTATTAGGAACCGGGGGACCGCCTACAGCACGACCCGTGGCATATTCATCATGAAAGTGTTATTCATGATGAATATTCATCCGGGACACACAGCATGCTATTGGTGGTTCCTGGGTTCCTAATCAACTTTGGGTTCTCAACGGATTTTCTCTCTCTCTCTCTATATATATATATGTATGTATGTATGTATCAACCTACAGTTTGCAATTTTATATTTGTTTTGCAATTTTATATTTGTTATACTTATGAACTTCCGATGTTCCGTTATTAGATAGTGGACTTTTGCTGTGGTTCAAATGATTTCAGTTGCTTCATGAAAGAAAAGCTTGACAGTATGGGAAAGAAGTGCTCATACAAGAACTACGATCTGATCGTACCAAAGGTAGTGTAACTTTCCGCTTAGTTTGTGCAAATAACGTCTTCACATCTTTTATCAAATTCGTTTGCTTTTTTGTTCAGAATACGTTCAATTTTGAACAGAGAGATTGGTTTAGCGTCCCTCTAGACGCACTACCCGATGGTTCTCATCTGGTACGCGATACTCAAAAACTCATCTTATATGCATTTTATCTCTCACACACTTCTCACAAGCACAACTGCTCTGCTCTTCCGGTAGAGGTCAAGTCTGTATACATCTTACCCCTCCAAAAACCCACCTCCAGGTGGAATATACTGGTTTGTTTGGTTTGGTTTGGTTTGGTTTATTGAAGACTTCGTTCTAATCGTTACTTCCTCAAAAGGTAATGGGGCTAAACCCTCCCTTTGGGGTCCAAGCATCTCTAGCGAACAAATTTATCGACCATGCTCTCAAGTTCAAACCGAAGCTCCTTATCCTTATTGCTCCGAAAGAAACCAAAAGGTTTTATCATGAACTCTAGTCATGTTATTTAATTGCTATTTAGGGGCCGTTTACTAAAAGCTTACCCGGTAAGTACTCACCGGGTAATTTTCCTCACCGGATGAACATGGCAAGGGCCAAGAATCTTACCCGGTAAGAACGAGGATAAGGATGGAGAGTCTTACCCGGTAAGTGAAGGTGACAAGTAAGCGCTTACCAGGAAAATTGTTGCATGGAATACGTTTTGATGTAATACAACCTTACCCAGTAAAATAAATTATAATGTTGACTCCTAACGGTAAGCACTTACCGGGTAAGCATTTAGGTAAACAACCCCTTAGTTTTGTATCAACTCTTATTTGTGTTGTTATGACAGGCTTGACCAGAAAAGGTCTCATTATGATTTAGTTTGGGAGGAAGAGGAAATGCTCTCCGGCAAGGTTTTATCACGACTCTAGTTAGATAAAAGTCTAAACCTATGTTCGGCAAATTAGCCGATAAACTAGCTGTTAGCTGATATGCTAGCTGTTGGCTGATAAGCTAGCTGTTGGTTGCCAAACATGGCTTAAGAACTTATCATCCGTTGCTCATTTACTTTCTCTTGCTCCTTTTATCACGACTCTAGTTAGATAAAAGTAAACCTATGTTCGGCAAATTAGCCGATAAACTAGCTGTTGGCTGATATGCTAGCTGTTGGCTGATAAGCTAGCTGTTGGTTGCCAAACATGGCTTAAGAACTTATCATCCGTTGCTCATTTACTTTTTCTTGCTCCTTTTAGTCGTTTTATCTACCTGGCTCAATCAACGCTCAAGACCAGACGTTAGATGATTGGAACACGGTCTCACCACCGCTCTCCCTTTGGAGTCACCCTGACTGGACTGCCAAGCACCAGGCGGTAGCCGAAAAGCATAGTCACATAGTAAAGCAAAATCAACACGAAGGAGGTGAAAGAGTAGTCTCGAATTACCTAATGGAAGAAAATCACGACTATTATCGTGATTTCTCTGAGTATCGGGACATCTCCACCATCTTGGATGATGTCCCAGAAGCACCTGCTGGTGGATCACCACCAGCAAGTGCTAATCCATCGACCATCGATGATGAAGACATCAATGTGATACCAGATACCGAAATACATATCCAAGAAACTCTTGATGACACGGCTGACATGAATGCGTCAAGCGACATGGATGTGTCGAGTCCGGTAACGTCCTCAACAAACTCGCAATCCGGACCAAGACTCAACCCTCCATTCATCCAGCCGAGCCATCCTGAACATTATCCTGGGGTCGATCCACCACAGTATGCAACTAACACAAGCGTTCCTAATGAATCAGATGTCGGTTCTTGGTATACTCAATCGGGTCTTGATGCTTTTCCGAGCCACCGTGGTCAAGGTGATTCCGTACCGACTTTAATCCAGCCTCCGAGTGCAAACTCCGCTTATGGTCACACCATTGATCCAACCTATGATCAACCTGATTTTACAAGTGAGCCGGACATTTGGCCACCAGGTACCATGCCTCCTGATTGTAAGTACGGCTAGAATAGTTCTTTTTTTAATATCCGATCAAACAATCGATGTCGGAATCCCTTATTGACGAATATATCATATGCCTGCATCAGATATCTACTCGAAAAATACGTTTTTATAGCGAATTTTGCAGTTCGAAACTCGAAAGTTAGCATTTTTACACCTGCGAACTCTCATACATTTGCAACACCCAATTCTCTCCTAGAAGCATGCAAAAAAAGACCATCGGCCCCCTTGCTAGCCCTCAACAAGCGTAAGACAACGTTTTCACGTGTACGTACAACTTACCCTTTAGACCCCGCATCCGGGTGAGATACAGTGGGCCCGTTTGGTTTGGTACAATATGCAACTTACATCATCGACGTCAATTAGTAGTCAAGTATTAACGCTTAATTTACACGTATTTAGTCGTCTTAACCTCTGGTCGAGCTCTGCCATGACCGCAGTTTCTTGCTTTTTTCTCTGCTTCGATAAATTGGTTGTCATAAAGCTGATTTTGTCGAAGGCGACCTGCATTCATTAATGAATGAAAAAGGGTAAGAATACAAGAACGGAAGTGAACGTATACACATACATAAACCCGATAACTATTACAGTGTTGTTTCATATGTGAAATGTACTTACCATTAACAAATCATCGGGATCAAATAGATGATGGGTTGTATTCTGTATTATCTTGATTGCATCTCCAACATAATGTGTCATCAACAACTCTTCTTCCTTCATCTGCAACAATATCATTTACAACTGATAAGACTAGACGAGACTGGACTGACAAGACAGAATTATGGATGGTTTCAGGGTTTTATTTTAACATGGATAGTTTAGTAATTTACCAATCTTAGAATTTCTGTCATCTGTTTTGATGGGATAGAAAAAAAATGTGTGTCCCAATTAGTTCATGTCTTGTTACAGTCTAATGTTGTAACAAATGTGGGACAACATGTTTTTATACTGTCTTTCCTTCCGTATCAAGTAAACCAAAAACAACTGAAAAATCGTCACCTTAAAAATAGCCAACGCTATGTTAAACAAAACTTGCGCTCCTTCGTAAAACAAAACGTCCCAAACCCGCATGGTCGTCTGCATAAGTTTCACACATGCAAAACAATTAGAAAAAGATCAGTCGAATGTCGGGTTTTTGGTACAAGACTACGAGCTAACGTAAAGTTGTGAACCTCGGAAGGCAAGCTCTTGGAAAAGAGGCAAAGAAACCACTCGGTGGCTACAAGCGAGATATCGAACCCCATAGCTTCTAAATGAGCAGACAACCTGCATTTTTCGAACCCTGTAAGTTGCAAAAACGTACAAACATGATCGTGATTATGCAAAGAGAAACGGAAAATACCGAGGGCATTTTTTGGATAACAGATCTTTAAACACCCGTTGTTCGACATGGCATCCCGATAGATTATCTGTGTAACAATCGCTAACCAGCACGTTTTCGAGCAAAACTGCTAACATCCAAAAAGCTTCTTCTTCGGTTCTCATAACAAGTAACAACAACGCGGCCACGTAATTTAAACCCTACGTCAACGACATTTTCGTTAGACTTCTATAAGACCGTACAATTAGGCCATGTTTGACAACTATAAACTAGTTTGTTTATTGAAAAAAACCCGTTTGATAAACCATAACTCTTTAAAAGAACTACTTCAAACAGCGTTTCAATAAGTTCTAGTTGTTTTTTCCAACTTTTTCCAATTTTACCCCTCCGGTTAGTTATTCAACATGTCCATTTCAGATCATTTTACATTGTCGTTTAGCTTATCAGTTAGTTTTCATCAAACATAACCCGTAATCACAACAACTAAAAGTAACCAACCTGACAATAACCAACGTCTGAGTCACGAAAAGAATACCCTACAAGAACCCGTCTGACCGCAGCATGACCCTCGGCGGTGTCCAACCACGGATGACCAGGGAAGGTTCGCGGCAAATCCTGCACCCAAAACAGAATAAATCGACCCGAAAATGTATACTTAATTTAAACCGATCCTTTTTAACAAAACGAAAAGCGCATTAATTTGCTCGAACCCCTCAGCCGGTCTCAACTGATTCAGCTCTGTAATGTCTTAAAGAACACGTGGTTCTAAAGAAGCAGGTTCCACGTGGGGTCCATTAAGGTCGCTCGTAATCAACCTTTTGCTCATATATTACGTTCTAAAAGTTCAATTTCCGTTATCGGATCAAACTTTCACGAGATATGTACGATTCAAAAACTCACATGATCAATTTGCTTTGTGGCCGGGGTGACTTTATCCGCAACGGCTATTATAAGATCGTTATAATAGCTATCCGGGACCGTAGATTTCTTCTTAGCGGCCCCGGATAACGAAAACCATACCTTCGGCCTCAAAGCCGGAGGTATACCCTTCCTGATCAGCTTCTTGAGGGCGATCGCGTTCACCAAAACCGAAAACCGAAGAGACGATTTAAGGGCAACGGAAGATGCATAAGTCTGTAGATACCAATTCGCACCTTTGTTAGCTTCCATTGCCCACCATACCTTACCCTGTTCCCTCACCTTCTCCCTCACCTCATTCAACACATTCACATCATCAACATTGCCTTCCACTGTAAACCCGTAGAGATCTTGAAACTTGACAACGATGTTCGCTCTTCGGGCATGAATACTCGGCCTTAGAATCGAGATTTCGGGATGGATTTCGAAGGGTAAATCGATGTTTGTTCGGGTTGTGTACATAATTGGATTGGAGTTGAAGGAAGATGGATTGATGGGTGTTGCAGAAAGAAATCAAAAATTGGAAGAGACCATGTAATCGATCTTGAAATATGATCAAGAAACTGGATTTGTGGTTTCTTCAAGAAAAGGAAGAAGAAGAAAGTGGGTGTTTTGTATATAAAAGGGTCGAAATTTTTGAACGTTTCTCCAAATGGGTGTTTGAGAAAACTTGAATTTGAAACCAAAGAAAATTGTTTTATAAACAATAAATTGTTTATTTTGGTACATAAGATGTAAAGTTTTAAACATTTAAGTACCTTGGTAACGGGTTGGAGACTAATTTTAGATTAAGAAAATCTATGTTACTGATTACGTTTGCAAATAATACTGAGTTGGATATCACATCATTTGTTACATCAATATGATAACTGATTAGTTTCCAAATGGTCTGAAATCATTACAAATAGTTACAATGTCTGAATTTAAACTTAAGAAAGTAAATAACCGTAAAATAACCAAAAGGATGATGCTTGATTGGTTTGAGCTTGACTCCAAAAGTCAAAAATATCAGGAGGTCCCTAGGTCCAAATCCAAGGAAGAATAAAAATCTTCTTGTGGCCATGGAAGTTCAAATATGGTGACTTCGGGCTATCTGCAAAGCAAGTGATCGTCCTAAAATTAGTTAGTTCGCATAGCGGGTTGGATATCCAGGTTAATAAAAAAATATCTATAAAATATTAAATTTATGAATTAATTTTTTTTTGACTCGGTGAAAAAGAATAAGTCAAATGCATGTGATGTATTTGAATTTTTATGAAAATTTAGTTGTCCAAACACCAAATTTAATAATTATATATATTTTTTAATTTAACTTATAAAAGGTCAACTTTGGAAACATAATTAAATAATGAGGATTTATTAATGTATCGATGATCACAATTTGAATTTAAAATCCACCTTAAAATGTCTAATGGTTTGTTTGATAGTTGTTGAATGATTTAATACAAAATGATTAAGTGGTCAGAATGATTAAAACTTATAATACAGTGTAAAGTTAAATATAATTGTTTGGTAATTGTTTATAATGAAATTAGAGCGCTAAATTGTTAAGAGGGTCCAAGATACATAATCATTCAGATGATTTTTAAATTATTAAGAGACAAATCTTTTTTTACCAAACAAGATTCATCTCTTAATGATTTAAAGACTGTATTTTAATAAAACTATTAAGAGGTAAACAAATAACCTCTACTTCAAGATTTAGATGGGTTCTTAGAAATAAGACAATGATTTAGAATAAATTAATGCATTTTCGTAAATCAATTGGTATATAAATACAAGCATTGAAAATTTCTAATAGTACGTCATTTATTTATGTGGAAGTGGAAAGGAGAGCCGGACCGGCGACGGCCCGCTGTGCCGGCAACCGTCATTCAACATCCCGGTTTGTGATTGGCCGGCACCTTATTCAATAAAGGCTTAAATATTTAATATTTCTTATTTTCGTTAATTATCAGATAATCCAAATTTAACCACAATTCATGATTTGAACATACTAAGAGGAGGTTATTTACCAAACATTTATTGGTAAAATTTAATACTATCATTTATTTACTAAGTAAGATTTTAGTCCACCAGAACGGTATCATATGCAACAATTTACCCGGTAAGTGCTTACCATGATAAGAGTCGTCGCACTCACTTACCGGGTAAGATTCTTGGTCATTGTCTCGTTCTTACCGGGTAAGATTTTTGGTTCTTACCATATTCATCCGGTAAGGTAATGTGATCGAGAGCGAGACCGAGAGTTCTAGAGCAATTGAATGGGAGGTGAATGAGAGAATTTTTAATAACTTATGGTAATATCAGTTTGAATATCACCTTGGAGGATGAAGAAAAGACATAGAGGTATGAGAGGGTGAAAACATGAGTGAAATGTGTCAAAAGTATCTTAGGAACAAGAAAAGAAAAAGTAATAATATGCATTGGTAACTTATACTATATGTTATTTTAATTGTAGATTAAGAGATTTTAAGACTAAATGCATAAAGTAGYAGTACTTAATACATTATGAGTTGTTTTTAAGACTTTGTGCATAAATGTATAGTACTTTATGCATTAAAAATTGTTTTTAAGACTTTTAATAAATCTGGTTTATAAGGTAGTATAGATATTGTATAATATATAATTAAAATTAATTAATAACCAATATTAATATTAATTAAATTAATAGTTAATATTTATTAATATAGTTGCTGAATTTTTATTGGAAGTCATGACTTGGTCTATTACAAGTTTTTTATTTACTCTTATTTCCGAATATTTTAAGTGATAAAAAATAATTTTAAAGATAAAAACAAGAATATATATATATATATATATATATATATTATAAAAATTTGGGTTATTTTTAATGAGTGGTGTATATGTCCGAGGTCGTGCACCACACTCATTTAATTCATTTCATTTTTTATTTATGCTGCAAAATCTGAATTTAATACAAACTATATAAAACAACTAAATCAGATATTTATAAAACATAAGGTATTATAGTACGTTTTTTTTTATTAACCTGGATATCCAACCTGCTATGCGAGCCGACTAATCTCAGGGCGACCACCTGCTTTGCAGAGCCCGAAGTCATTGCATTTGAATCTCCATGGCCACAAAGAGATTTTTATTCCTTCTTGGATTTGAACCTGAGATCTCCTGATACTTTTGATATTTGGAGTCAAGCTCAAACCAATCAGGCACCACCCTTGTGGTTAAGTATTATAATACGTTGTCCTTCCTTAAAATGGAACTTTCATGTTGAAGCAAAATATGAAACCGTGAATATGTGATTAATCAACTTTATAAATATGTAAAATCTAAAGCTCAAAATGTAAAAGCACATTAGTTACAAAAATTAAATTACATTAAAAATTTAAAATACACTGATTTGTAAAAGTCGCACGTCAACGAATTACACCTTACACAAATTAATACTACAAACCTCATCATAACGACCGAAACATGTCTTACGTCATATCCACTATGATGCACCTTTTAAAACCCTAATTCTAATCAACATCTTATAGTAATTATTAATGATTGTTAATAAAATTAAGAGGAAAAATATCTTTTAGCAGATACAACTATTGACGGAAATTAAATAAATAATTAAACGATTATATAATTAAGGGTAGACTATACACATTTTTATTTATTAATTTTTTTCCGTCACACGAGAACATCAAAACTTAATCGTTACATCTTCAACGTATGATTTAACTTAACTTTGATATAAATTGGAATAAAAACAGCAACCCACTTAGTTAATTTATGTCAGGGAAATTTACATAAATAGCTATCGTTTTGTAGTCATTTTATAACCCAAATTTACTTTTTAGTCAAACCTCACCCAGAAGTTTACACGTATGCATAAGGATTGGTTTTCAGCTAAAAAAAAAAAAGACGTTTCTGCATACGGATCCAGAAACCTTACAGATATGCATAAAGTTTCTATGTAAGGATTCTTATTTCGTTGACCAAAAACCAACCTTTACACATATATATAAACCTTTTGTTTAAGAATTAACTAACAGATAAATTCAAATTGAATAATGAATAAAAAGTGAAACTCAACTACAAGGGTGGTGTCTGATTGGTTTCAGCTCGATTCCAAATGTCAAAAGTATCAGAAGGTTCCAGATTCAAATCTAAGGAGGAATAAAAATCATCTTGTGGCCACGGAAGTTGAAATGCGGTTACTTCGGGTTATCTGTAAAACAAGTGATCGTTCTGGAATTAATCGGTTTGTATAACGGATTGGATATCCGATGTTAATAAAAAAAATGTGAAACCCAATTTGGTGATCGGATTATTTTTATCAAATTTCCCGGGAAAAAATAGATGACGTGGATGATAAAGACCATGCTTATTGTTAATAATAGTCATAATGATACGTGTGGTACAAACCATCCATACATGTGGTACAACCATCCATACATAAAACAACAATATCCTACCAAACTAACATCATATCTCTTCACCTCATTCCTAGTTTTTTATTTCACATACCTACTACTACTACTACATGATCATGCATGCATGCATGCAAACATACATCATAAATCACTTAATTTCCACCCTCTTCTTCCTTCTTCTTCACCGGACGACCAAAACCACCGCCACCCATTCCAGGGACACCGCCACCGCCGCCCATTCCAGGGATACCGCCACCGCCCCACCCCATTCCAGGGCGACCCATTCCTCCACCACCAAGCCATCCAGGACTACCACCACCGCCCCATCCACCTCCACTTGTACCACCAGCACCACCAACACCTCCTGGACCCTCTCCACCCCATCCACCACCTTCACCTCCACCTCCGCCAGGACCTCCTCCGTATCCACCACCTATACCATTGCCCCTACCCCCAATCAACCCACCTCCTCTGCCCATCCCCCAACCTGCACCAAATCCAGCAACACCTATCTGCTCCGGTTTCATGCCCCCACTCTCTGCAAACCACACAAAAAGAACACATAGTTTTTTAGTCAACTATTTCTACTTTGAGTATTTTAAACCTAAACAACTGAACACTTACTTTTATGAGGATCAAGATTTTCTTCATCGTTCTTGGCAGAAGAAACGAGAACGACTGCAAAGAGAAGGGTTAAGACGAGGAGAAAACGCTTTGAGGACTCCATTTTTGTCCAAAATTGGAGCTTTTGGATTGTTGTTGTTGTTGTTGTTGTGGGTTGGGTCCATGGATTTATATGGGTTGAAGTGTGGTAAAAGCCAAAACCACATTGAAGAAGCCATTAATGGAAGGTTCAGAAACAGGGATGAGTTTGACACAGGAATTAGGGTTTTGATGGACGGAGATTTCCATGTTGAGACAGGTGGCACACATGCACCGACTTGTTGACATCTGGCTACTAAAGCGCCCCTTTGGAGCACTTCTCTCTAAAAGTCAAAACCTTCATGTATTCTCTCTAAAAGTAAAAAAAAACCTTAATATTTTTGGACATATGCAAAAATAGGTAATTATACGAGCAACTGTAAAGGCGATGATCAGGAGCTGGTTCGAAAAAATGATCAGTCATCCGTTTAGCAGCATTTTATGATGGCATAGCCGATCAAATTGATTGGGTCATGTAGAAACAAGGTTTAAGTTTATCGGTCGAGATCTATATCTATGAATTGAAAGGTCTGAAATGATCGATTCAGACAGAAGAAAAAATTCTCGATTGATTTTTCTTATGTATCAGTCTGTTTATTAATTCTTTTTTTGACTATTTGTTTCTTTGTTAGAGGTTTGAAATCCTTCAAACTATCACTTATTTAACAGTATTTTTTAATTATTATACTTTAACTTAAGAAATGCATGTATTTATGATTGGATATATAAAATATTTTTAATAAATAAATTAAAAAAAAATTGAATTACAATTAATTTTAGAGCAGAATTACAATGTTGATCTCTGTAGTTTTTCTAAATATTGATTTGTCATTTATAACGGTTGCTAACTGACGATATTAACTATTATGAATCTTGCTAGTTTCATTGACTAATTTTAGAAAGTATAATAACTTCAATTTCTAGGGTTGGGTTCCGTTGAAATTGAAGTACCGTAAGTAATTACACCCATTCTTTTATTTTGCTGAACTCGTGCGATTCATTTGATCGTTCAAGGGTCAAGATGGCTTGCTTTTTGTTCAATCCCAACAGAGATCTCATATATTGGCTTGTGGTTACAACACACGTAAAATCAGACATGAACATCGTGGAATAGTAATCAAAATGTGCACTAAATAATTCATAAAGCATGCCCACAGTTTAGGATGATGGTTTCGAAACCAGATACTTGTTGATTCTGTTTGTCAAATGGAAAATATGAAGAATTCAAGTTGTGTTAAGAACCATTTTCTTTGTTTTTTCATAATTTCTTTTTTCTTTTTCGGCTCGTTTATTGTGTTGCTCTAACGGAATAAGTTGATCAGATGGAAAATGTGTCTAGAAATGTTTCGGGTTTGAGGAACACCGGAGGATGAGACTCCAAGTGGACTTATGTTCACAATTCGAATGTGTAACCGGTGTTCTCGAAGCCTTGTGTTTCATGCTATGTTACGATTCCATGGCCTCTTACTGTTTAATATGATCGTCTCATTGAGTAATAATAAAAAAACATATGTATATATAAATATATATGATATACATATTTTGCACTGTTTAATATGATTGACTCGAGTGAGTGCTTACGGGCTAAGAATTTTTTTCTCTTGTTTACTGTAAGATTAAGTCCTTTCTATGCACTTATCGGGTAAGATTCTCAGTATTTGTCATGCATATTCGATAAGATAAGTAACACCAGTAAGCACTTAGTGAGTAAGCATACGATAAACAGCCCCTAAGTGTAGACATATTGGTCGAAAACGTAACATTATTTGATAACTAATCTCAACTAAGGTCATCATTGCTGACTATGTAAAAGTCAAAAGGACAACATTATGGATTCGTTAATCAAAAGGTTAAACTGAGAGTCGGTTAAAACGTTGTCAAGAAGAAGTAGACTGAAACCGATGGTTAAGTAAGTTAATGCAAGGGAAACCCAACCTACTGATTGACGATCCCAAAACATATGTTCGATGGGGCAAACATAACCGAGATAACGGAATAAGGTTAAGCTTATATATGGATACTAGTGATCAATTAAGATCACCTATGGGGTCAATTCTTCTACTGATCAATTAAGATCACCAATAGGGTCAATTCTAGGATAACGGACTGTCTGCTTTACTGAATGGAAACGGTCTCGGAGAAAGCGGAATGGTTAATTTCTTTGACCAAATTTCAATTCTTTTATCTGGTTCACATAATGAAAAAAATATAAGAATCATTCGAATTCCTTAGATTAAAGATTCAGCATTCCATTGGATATCCCAAAGATTCCAATTCCTTTAGGCTGTAGCAATTTCATCCAATCAAACACGTTGTCAAATTCAATCAAATTTCATTTCAATTCCTGCAAAGTCAAATTCCTTTAAAGGGTTTTAATTCCATCAAATTCCATTCGACAAACCAAACGTCCCTTAAGAGTTCGTGGAGACGTTCCTGACCATAACAAATACACCATTGAGTACTTTACTATGTGAAAAATATCATGTCCACTGTCGCACTAATAGACTAAATATGCTTCATAGGACAATATGGACATACGTATTTAGGCTTCAACAATTGCAATTTAACACTTAAAGTTCAATGGCCAAAGTCTAAATACGTATCATATTATCTTCTGAAGCATATTTAGTTTATTAGTAGGACAGTGGACATGATATTTTCCACATAGTAAAGTACTCAATGGTGTATTTGTTATGGTCAGGAACGTCTGCATGAACTCGTATGGGACGTTTGTTTCGTTGAATGAAATTTGGTGGAATTAAAATACTTTAAAGGAATTTGACTTTGAAGAAATTGAAATGAAATTTAATTGAATTTGACTACGCGTTTGATTGGATGAAATTGTTAAATAAATTGGAATCTTTAGGATATCCAATGAAATGGTGAATCTTTGATCTAAGGAATTCGAATGATTCTTACATTTTTTTCAATATATGAACCGGACAAAAGAATTAAAATTTAGTCAAAGAAATTAACCATTCCATTTCTCCAAGACCGTTTCCATTCAGTAAAGCAAACAGTCCCTTATCCTAGAATTGACCCTATGGGTGATCTTAATTGATCACCAAAAGATTCGACCCCATAGGTGATCTTAATTGATCACTAACAGCCGTACGCTTATCCTTATTCCGTTATCTCGGTTATGTTTGCCACGTTGAACATATGTCTTGGGATCGTCAATCATTAGGTTGGATTTCCCTTGCATTAACTTACTTAACCATCGGTTTCAGTCTAATTCTTCTTGACAACGTTCTAACCGACTCTCAGTTTAATCTTTTGGTTAACAAATCCATAATGTTGTCCTTTTGACTTTTACATAGTCAACGTTGATGACCTTAATTGAGATTAGTTGTCAAATAATGTTATGTTTTCGACTAATATGTCTACACTTGGGGATTGTTTTCCATATGCTTACTCAGTAAGTGCTTACCGAATGTTACTTATCTTATCAAATATGCATGACAAATACTGAGAATCTTACCCGGTAAATGCATAGAAAGGACCGAATCTTACCCAGTAAACAAGAGAAAAAAACTCTTAGCCAATAAGCACTCACCGGATAAAGAACACTTAACAACAATCCATTTTGATGGCGGAGGATATCACCCGATAAGATAAGTGAAGGTAGTAACTTTTCCCGATAAGCCTTAGGAGCCACGACGTTTTTCAAGACATGACTTATAGTGCAAAATATGTATATCATATATACATATGAGTCGATCATAGTAAACAGTTTAATTTAGGTTATACACTAATAACTAAAAAAAGTAAGAAAAATCAAATATCGTATCACAAAAACATGCATGAGGCCATGGAATCGTAACATAGCATGAAACACAAGCCTTGTAGAACACCGGTTACACATTCAAATTGTGAACACAAGTCCACTTGGAGTCTCATCCTCTGGTGTTCCTCAAACCCGAAACATTTCTAGACACGTTTTCCATCTAATCAACTTATTCCGTTACAGCAACACAATAAACGAACCGAAAAAGAAAAAAGAAATTATGAAAAAACAAAGAAAATGGTTCTAATATTAACCTGAATTCTTCATATTTTCAACTTCACAAACAGAATCAACAAGTATCTGGTTTCGAAACCATCATCCTAAACTGTGAACATGCTTTATGAATTATTTAGTGCACATTTTGATTACTATTCCACGATGTTCAGGTCTGGTTTTACGTGTGTCGTAACCACAAGCCAATATATGATATCTCTGTTGGGATCGAACAAAAAGCAAGCCATCTTGACCCTTGAACGATTAAATGAATTGCACGAGTTCAGCGAAATAAAAGAATAGGTGTAATTACTTACGGCACTTCAACCCAACATATCTTTAGCTGACGACAACCCCACCGGATAAGACCTGTGAAATCTTGATTTAGAGTCTCTATTTACCTTCGTGCTGCTGCTTTTGCTCAACACATATTTCTCCGTGTCATCGGTTTCTGTAAGAAATTGAAGTCCCTGAAAGATTGGCGTTGCAGAATGTGAACCAAGAACGATGGATATATTATGACTAGGATGAGGAAAAAGGTTCAAGACACTCGACAAACCTTCAAAGAAGTCTCCTCGTATGTAATTTTGGAGTGTTCTCCTAGCTTAGCTTCGATGTCCTATTACACAGATATGTCATATATAAGATATGAATTTACCATCGACGAATCAATACACATCTCAAATCTTGCATGGTTTAGACAGGACTGTTCCAATCTTCTTGGAGGCCCTTTTACACCTTCACATTGTACTTCTTTTATGAGGAGATCAGGGATCAGTTAAAAGAATAAAAGCCTAAAATATTATAATTAGGCTAGAACTTATATACCGTTCCATAGCTCGCACTGATCCATCCTTAAGCACGGTCATGGGTTAAAGGTGCCATGTGGCCTATTATGCTGGTTCGAGCAATATTGTGCTAAGTGATAAAATCCATCGATCTTTAGGGATGATGAACACCATCGACATCCAATCAAAGAATGTCTTTTTCGTAATTGTTTTTTGAAGTTTGAGTGGATGTTCAGTTTTTATTCTTTGATTAATTTCATATTGAGTGCACAAGGAGTCTCATAATAGAACTGATACTCATCACCATAAACTTGTAAACCAAATAGACAACAAAATAAAATAATCTTGTAACCGAAAATGCATAAATCGTCGAAAATAATATCCAAATCAAAGGAACCCAATATACCACTCGATAGTAGGGTCGGGGGTTGGATGTATACAAACTTGTCCTCTACCCCAAAGGGTTGAACGAGTATTTCTGTGAAGATTATATGTAAACATGAACACTTCATAGAACAATAACATAAATTAACTCGGGCAACCTAGGAAGTAAATTGCTGCCATTTTCATGGAGGGAGGGTAGAGTAAAAGTAATTCTAATATCTGACCTGAAAGAGCTTAGCATTTATCCCATCTTTTATCCCTCCGGCGACATGACATAAATAGTACAAACCTGAATTCGTCATATCCTGTCCAAGAAAACCAAGTTGAATAACCTTCAACAAAATGGATGCAACGGAAACGAAACAGATTTAAAATTGAATTATTCTCGCCTGCTTTCCTTCGATCAGGTCTATCTTCCCTTCCTGTTAATTTAATTATCATTTGCTGCATTAGTAAAAGAGAACAAAGCAGAAAACTTTCATATCCATTATTATTAACATAACAATGAGAAAACTCACCAATCCAGCCACCATTTGATGGATCATATCAATGTCATAACCTATCTGATTAAGATTGGACTTCACATCATTTACCTGCACAAGATTCGGATTGTAGAAATTTTAAATACAAACTACGATAGCAGCGTTGCATTTCCTGGGATTCTTACATGTTAAATGGAGTACCATGAATCTTACAGTATTGCTCTTACAGTAACATGATAGAACAGTTCTTTAAAGGATGCTAAAAGTTCAGGATAATCGTTATCTTTCACATAAAAATAAACGCTTTTAATGGAGTTGTCTTACGTCATCTGCAATAAGTTTACTCATTTCCTTCTGCTCATCTAATTTCCAGTCCAAATTTTCAAGTCTCTTTGATAAATGCCTTTTTGTGGACTGCGGGTTTTAGTTACAAAGAAAACGGCAAGAGTTAGTAATTAAATTAGCAATAAATTATAAAAGAAAATACATTAGAGTTGATCAATTTGATGTTTACTCACAGCGAGCGCATCAGATACATTCTCTAATTGTTTTGAGACTGTTGCTACAGCATTGGCCATATTGTGCTTAGTTACAAACATAACATCAGACAAAGACAAGCCCTGAAAAAAATATGAAATGAGATCTATTGCAACGATTATGCATGAACAGTTTCATGGCTTTTAGCATTTGGAGCATTTTTACCTTCCACCACATATAACAATACCCCATCGCTCCTAGTGCTGCAGCTGGCACCAAATAAGACGAGTAACCTCCTGCATGACACATTCAAGAAAAGATTAAGCGTATGTGCAACTACGATGAAATCCTTGAGCAGAATATCCAAGTCATACAAAAGATTAAAAAGGGAGTCCCAAAACCTATTATGAACCCTAAACATCAATGAAATGGTGCCATCCAACAGCTCAAAACATCTGAAATGAAATATTTGTTTGATTATAACTATGCAAGTTACAAGCAAGGGAAATTTGAATTTGATTCTACAACCAGTGCACTGGATAAGAGTAGATGAAGCATGCCTTGGTAGGTGGACCATGAGGAATTTCAGGTAACATGAGAAAAGGAGGAGTAGAAGGGCATAAACTAAATACTAAATGCTACTATAAAAAAATAGAAAAAAGGCGTCGCATCTGTGATTGGTTGCAATCAATCAACAAATCAACTCCATCGCCCAAGTCTCGAAAAAGACTCGAAGTCACATGCTAAGAGTTATAGACTCACTTGGTGCCCACTGGGGCAAAGATCTCTTAGTCATTGGTCCTTGTCAATTATCTCCAGTTATGGATAAGATCATAAACGACATATATACAATGGTTTATGATCTTCAAAAATGATATCATTTTTACTGATGAGATTACAGGAAATACGAATGCCTTGTTGGGGCTATGTAGATAGCTAGATATGCATCTCAATCTAAAGGTTCCAAGTTCAGCCAAAAGAAAACTAACTAGCTGAATTGCAATTTTTAGGGTTGTCAGTTGAAAAGCATAAGATGCAGTAAGCAAGATGGACAGAAAGTAGATAGAAAGGCTATCTTTCATTATTTTGGAATACTATTACGTGTGAGTGGAGAATGATAAATGACGAGGATGTTAGTCATAGGATAACAGTGTATAACACCCTAGTTTCTATATTTGTTAGATTTCAATGTTTTAAGCCTTAAATACAAGTATCATGATCAAATTAAGTGCACTAAAACGACTCCAGCTGCATTAGCATCTTTAAATCATCATATTTTAAATGACAGGTAGCTTACAAGATAAAACGTGATAACTCAAACCTAAATACTTAGACAATGCAAGTCTAGTAAGCTAAGCATGACAAAGCAAACTGGTTATGAGTTGTTAAGGCTAGAAGCATATGTTGGCAAAATTATTGATAACAAAGCAAGTCTAGTAAGCATGACAAAGCAAGCTAGTTATGAGTTGTTAAGGATAGAAGTATGTGTTGTGAATCTTGTGATGACAAAAGCAAGCTAGTTATGAGTTGTTAAGGTTAGAAGTAGGTGTTGTGATGACAAAGCAAGTCTAGTAAGCATGACAAAGCAAACTAGTTATGAGTTGTTAAGGCAAGAAGCATGTGTTGGCAAAATTATTGATGACAAAGCAAGTATAGTATGCATGACAAAGCAAGCTAGTTATAAGCTGTTAAGGCTAGAAGCATGTGGTGGCAAAATTATTGATGACAAAATAATTTTAATAAGCATGACGAAGCAAGCTAGTTATGAGGTGTTAAGGCGAGAAGTGGGTGTTGTCAAAATTATTGATGACAAAGCAAGCCAGTTATGAGTTGTTAAGGCAACAAACATGTGTTGGCAAAATTATTGATGACAAAGTAAGTCTAGTAAACAAGACAAATAAAAGCTAGAAGATGATGTGTCAAGATTCTTTTATCTTAAGCATGAGGCGTTAAACTCTCATAAGAGTACAACCATGAGAGCAAGAAGAACAAGTAGTTAATGATTTGTTCTCTAAACTAAGGCCTAAAAGGAGAATAGGGGCTATAAATGGAATAACCATAAGTTTAGAATATTATGTAAAGGAACGATCATCATACCTCAACATATATGTTCCTTTACATGAGCATGCATTATAACGATCATCATACCTCAACATCGACTAAGTTACGATTCAAAGAAACACTATGCATATCTACCAAAACCATCCTAAAATAAAACATGGATTTTAAGATCAAGAGGTACAAAAACAAGTTCAAATGTCATACCACTAGAAGTAGAATTTCCATTGAAGATGGTAACAGGCCGGGAGAGGGACAACTCCCGGATCTCTTGTGCCAATTGTCGAATCTGAAGTGATACCAAGAATAAAATCAGAAAAGACTATGAAGAAAAAGAAACATCCCATGCATTAATCATTTGAAAGTAATTTGTTACATTAATATTGAGAACAAGATGACAAATGTAATCTCAATTCTCCTAGTAGCTTTTTAAATACCTGGGCTGCAAGTGCAGCACTATCATACTTTCCAGGTGAGATTTCAACTTCATTAACACCTCTCATCAACTCCTGAAGCTCTGATAATACATCAGACAGCCTTCCACTCCTCAAGATAACAGAACTAGTTACACCTATTCGACAAAAGAAAATGACATTAGATGGCAAGTACGAAATACACAAAATGGAAACTAAGCTACAAACCATTCTACAAGAGCCTCTATAACATGTTAAATGAAGTAGCCCTCATTTGATCGTTGTTTTAGTAACCGTGTGTACTTCTTGTAACCTCTTATGAATATCAATATACGAATCGCCATCTCTCTCCTGTGGATGTACACTACCAAAAAGGTAGTTGAAACACGTCAAATCCTCATGTCATGGTGTCATTTATAGCTTTGGGTTTTACATCTTCACTGCATTGAAGTTGGATTGCTCTTAGCCTCGTTGTTAGTATTTTGTTGAACACGTATGAGATCAGGTTGAATCCCACATTGTTGTTAGGGATTGCACAAGTTGATTCATTTTTGGACCTTCGTGCTTGTTTGAGATGTGAGTTATCCCCCAACAGGTTACTATATAGTATCTACCAATGGAATTGCTTTATTATCATCACCACCACCAGCTATAAACCCTAATTCGGCCACAATTCTTAGACGTACAAAATTTATCATCAGGATAAACCCTGACTTTCAACAATAAGTAACGGATCATACTACCTACTTCGAACCATAAAATTTTCCAGCCATCTGTTTGGCGGTTGCTGAATGGTTTGGTGCAAAATGGTTAAGTGCTGAATAAAATAATGTTGTTTGGTAACTGTTATCTGAATGACAATAAATTACCATTTTAACCCTCTGAATGATTTAGTACGGAATGAAATAGGGCTATCTGACAGATATCTAAATAAAACAATTATTTTTGCAAATATAACTACATATTTCATATTAATCCAAACAAAGCAACATTATACAGACCTATGCATATACAACAAAATTTAACTACATATATACAGCAAAATCATGATGCATATACCCATTTATCAACAAACAGACCTATGCATATACAACAAAATTTAAAACGCATCCTACATACAAACAGCCCTAATTAACGTACGAGCCCTAATTAATCTGGTAGAGGGAAGCAGTAGGGGAGGCGATGTGAAGCGGCGATTGTAGAGGGCAGAGATGGAAAAAAGAAATCTGAATGGTTTAGTGAAGCCCTGGGTACAAAATGGTTAAGAGGTTAATGTAACCATTAAAGGCTTGTTTATTTTTGCCAAACAGCCTTTACCTCTAATCGATTAAGAGGTTGGCTCTTAATGTCACCGTTAAGAGCCAAACAAACAGCCCCTAAGATTAGCCTACGATACGCATAAGTATTTCAAGTTCTAGGGTTCGTAAAATTAATTCGCAAAAAAAGTGCAACAACCTGCTCCGACAAGGATCAGAAGTTTGGACGTGTTAACTCCTGTTTGCATCGCCATTTAGAGAAACTTCCGACGACTCTTCCGGCAACTTTTGATCTACCGGAGACTTTCCGGCTGGGGAGGGGAGAAACGGGGAATAGAAAACACGACGATGCGTTGAATATAAAAATGATACGGAGGAGTTTGCGTATGTGGAGCAGACTTCGTTGGAAGTCATTATATACTGAGAATTATTTTTACATTTTGACCCCTGAAGTCATGGGTTAATACAAGATGCATCCTTGAAGTTTTCTTTTTGACCTATGTCGCTTTTTTGTTTGAACGTGTTACTGAAAGAAATTGTTTTCCAGTGTTTGGTAAATATAATTTTGATCATTTCATTTTATGAAACATGTGAAACGTTGTTATAAGGAGACTGATTATTAACTAATGAAGGTAAATATAAAACTGTTCATCTTTAACTGTAATCAGTTGATCATATGATTTTATTTTCTAAACCAGTGATGATCGTTATAAAATTTCATGTTCAAATACGGGTATTGTTTATAACTTCTTTACTGAAATATGATCAATAACGACAAACAAGTAGCATGAATTGACGACTGAATGTGGATTTATACTGAAATTTAAATTAAAACGTCCAGTTTTGTCATATTAGTTGATGAATAATTGAAAAACCAGAAACATGTTGCCTTCATTAAATCTGAGCAAACATTTTGCAAATACTGAATGCAGATTAGGAAAATAAAATATCCATTTATAGATTGAAATGTATTACTACAACATAGCGAACAGAACAATTACAACACAGAAAAGGGTGGAAGAAAGCGTTTTCCTCAACACGTGCCTTGTTATAAAACATGAATAAAAAGAAGACGTAAATCAGTGACCAACTATAACTATTTCAGGTACGTCATCGTCCTTTTCCTCTTCTGCATCCTTGTCTTCTTTGGTTCCCTCTATGATCAATACCGGTGTTCTAAGGGGGCGATTCCTAGAACAATTAGGGTCTGAAGGGTCACATGCGGGAGCCTCGGCTTTGGCTTCTTGAATCAACAGTGAAAACACGAGGAGGGTCGAAAGGCAAAGAAAACCCATTTTCCGTGACGGTATGATCATCGTGTTATCTTCTTGAAAGGAGTATGAAAAGTTACGAAACGTAGCGTTTTTCTTGTGATTGAGAAGGAGATAGATAGGAAAAAATCTGTGAAACCAACTTATGGTCGAGAGTGAATTACAAATTTAATGGTCAATACACCTCTAGACGATATAACCAATTTTAACTAATGGCTTTCCGAAAGTCACAAATTCCAATGACGATGGAAAACACGTTTTTAGGACGTTTTAGTTGACCAAATAGCTTATTAAGCAGTGTATTTTATTTATTTCTTGCTAATAAATTATCTGTATAAAACACTATAAAAGTTACATAAAATATATAAAGAAAACACTGATAAAATGGGGAATAAAGAAAATCTTCCAAATCATTCATCTATTATAATGAATATAGATGCTTATATTTTGATAAAACTAATTTCACAATTACAAGGGTAATTGCATTTGAATATGACCATCTGCAGTAGGGGTGCTCAAAAACCCGATCAACCCAACGCGAAATAATTTAATCTGAAGCAACGCAAAATAACTCAATCCATCATTTTTTATATTTTCTCCATTTTGAAGATGCTATCAAACCCAATAACCTTTTTTTTAATATTAAAAACACTGAAGTTTGAATTTTGAAGAAAACCGTGATTATTGGTTACTTTTTGCACTTGTAAATATAACAACAAATATAATTTCTAACTCTTGCATTGATATGATCGTTTTTCCATTAGGAACAAAACCCCACAAGTAGTTTCTGCAAAGGCCGAGTTTTGAGGTCGAATCAAGCAGCAAAATTCAGTTCAGTGCAAGTATTAACATACACATCAACACGGGCAGAGCTAGCCTTGGTCCAGAGTGATCCTACGCTCACCCTCAACTCAGAATAACAATTTCTTTATAGAAAATATGACAGATAATACCACTGATCATCTATAAGTGACCATGTGTTAAGTTCATCTGACCTTTTATTTTGTTTTTTTTTTAAATTATAATACCATTTTCAACACTTAAGTATGTGAATAGTTTTGTAGGATTGAGTTTACATAAGACCAGTCTGTTTTCGTGAGACAACACTTTTACACTTGAATGTGAAAGTAAAAAAAAAAGTTGAACATTCACAACAAAAACACTGTGAAGGTTACATTCACAGTGTTTTTTGCTTTAAAGTTTCAAGTGTAAAAATGTTGTCTCATGAAAACAGTCTTGTCTCACATGATTTCAAGTTTAGTCTTGTATATCAATTATAATATAGATATTTATATCAAGGTTGTTTTATATATCTTTAACTAGTGTTTGACATCGTGCGTTGCACGATGACGATAATTTTTTTTAAAATTTATCGAAATTAGCTAAATGAGTTGATGATCACATTTATATATTAAACTAATAAGAATCAACATTACCTTTGATATATGAATCTAACTTATCATTATTGGTTGTTCTTTTAATATTATATATATATATATAATTATTAAGTCTTATGTATCAATCTTTTATTATATCAAACTTTGTGATTCGTTCAAAATCTTAAAAAAAAATATGTGAAAATATTGATTATAATCATGAGGTGTATTAAGAGAATTATTTTACTATAATACATATCAATTTATCTTCTACATATATTCTCATAAAATATTTATATTCACCAARCAATAATYGTGTTGTTATTTACATTGATATAATTGTTGAATATTTTTGCAATTTGCTTATATTAGTTCATGATATACTCATTTGCAACATTGGTCAAGAACCTAAACCACTTTTTTCCTACATGTGATTGCATAAAATGAAAATAATAGCTAGTATTATGACCATTCTAGATATATAAGAGTCTGATTGATTTGTTACTTTTTCATTTGACTTGTTTAAGCTTTTTAGATTTATTTTAGACAGTTCATAGTTTGATTTATTTATAAAAAAATCCTGAAAATAGAGGTTTTAATAAAATTCTGTAAAATAAAAGATATGTATTATATGGAATTTCATATTTTAAATATAAGGATGGAAAAGTCTTTTACATATATCAAATATTTTAAAAAATCAAAAATCTAAGAAAAAAATGGGTTTCTAATGTTTAGAGGATAACACCTTATTATGTTTGGTTTCTTCTGTAAGAATTAAAAATATTATAAAATAATTTCCAAGTTCAATGCTAAAAAAAGAAAAAAATTACAATAGACCGATCAACATTAACAAAAACTCATATCATACATGTTTTCATGAATGACGCCTCAAATCAAAAAAAAAAAAAAACAAAACACGTCCACAAAAACTGAATAAAAAAGAAGAATTAGAAGATTAAAAGAGATTATTATGATAAACAATGTTACCCTATTTCATCAAAGATTCACATGTCACTTTATCCACACAAAAAATAAAAAAATTATATGCCTACACAATTCCAACTTTAGTGTGAATTCTCCGAYTAAAAGACGAAATACTATACTTACATAAGCAAAAACTTATACTATGATTAGTCTTATACGCCTCAAATCAACAAAAATGCAAATCACCCCATAAAATTATAACTGAATAGAGAGAAAGAATTGAGAGATTCATATGTTTGTATAATTCCAATTTTAGTGTGAATATCTCCAATTAAAA